GAAGCCTGGTACGGACATAGGAGCTTTACTACAAAAATGAGATCAATAACCACCTGTGGCATCAATTCGCACATCTAACCTTCCCTTACCACACTTTCCTTCATGTCTGCACGACCGTACCATTTGCGCACCAACAGGCTATCCAGTCCGCTTGGGATCGATGCCTTTCCCGTGGAATTCAGTTGGCAGCTAACAGCTAAGGAAGGCATTCATAATGTCACACAATCGTCCTATGAACTTCAAGTCTCTACATCTCCAGCCTTCGAATCCGAGAACATTGTTTGGGACAGCGGGAAGACAGCCACAAGTAAGATCACATCACTTACAGCCATCTACGGGGACGACAGTGTGAAAAGTCGCACTCAGTATCATTGGCGCCTCCGCGTATGGGATCAAACCGACCAGCCCAGCGACAAGATCTGGGACACAGCCGAGCAAGCATGGTTCGAAACAGGGCTTCTGGAGCCATCCGACTGGAAAGCGTCCTGGATCAGCGCTCCTGTAATGACATCAACCGGCAATTCGATAAAAGATGGCAGAGTCATATACCTCTCTAGCACCCTGCAGCTCGCGCAAACACCAGTCCGAGGACGAGCTTACGCCACGGCTTGCGGATGGTACAAGCTTTTCGTCAATGGAAACAACGTCACCGGTACGGCGTTGGTACCACGCTGGACGCCTTTTGATCAGTTCACCGAGTACCAGACTTACGATATCGCGAAGTATCTGAAGGCTGGCGAGAATGTGGTCAGCGTCGTTGTTGCGGATGGTCGATTCAGAGGTCAGATCGGCGTCACCGAAGGGCGCTGTCGCTACGGAGACCGGCTTTCTGCGCTTGTACAGGTTGAGGTGGATACAGACGACGGAGAAACTGTTATATTCTGTACCGACGAGACATGGCAGTGTCCAAAGGGCTCCATCGTTCGATCAGACCCTGTGTGGGGTGAACATACCGACTTCCGGATCGCTGACGAGTGGCTGGAGAAATGCGATATTAGATCTTCGGATCAAGCCGAAAAGGTCTCGGTTTTGACGAAGAAGCTGATTGCAGAGGAGGTCGAACGCGTGGAAGAAGTCATGCGCTTGCCACCCAAGACCGTACTTCGTGCCCCGTCGGGCGCACAAATAGTCGACTTTGGACAAAACTTTGCCGGCATTATGGCGATCAAGCTCCGCGGGCGGGCGGGCTCCAAAATCACCATGACCTACAGTGAAGTTTTGTCCGGCGACGGAGAGCTTGACATCAACTACCTGAAGCTTCCCATAGTGCCGCATATCGTACAGCAAGACGTTGTAACCCTTGGAGACAACGAAGCCACATTCCAGCCATGGTTCGCCATACATGGATTCCGCTACGCTGAAGTCCGAGGCTTAGATTACGATCTTAGTCCCTCTGACATCGGAGCAATTGTCCTAGCTTGCAACATACCAACCACAGGGTCATTCACATGCTCAGACGCCCGCCTGAACAAGCTTTACCAGAACATCGTTTGGACTACCCGTGGCAATTTCACGGACACACCAACTGACTGTCCGACTCGAGAGCGAATGGGTTGGACGGGAGATATCCAAGTATTCACTCCTACTGCAACCATGCTATTTAACTGTCAGACCTTCTTGCGTCGGTATATGCGTTGTCTAGCTGCGGAACAACTTGCCGACGGCAGCATCCCATCATACATCCCCAGCGCTGGTTCACAGTTCAGCAGCCAGCTTTCACTCACCACGAAGTTGATGTCAGGATCAACTGGATGGGGCGATGCTTCTACAATGGTGCCTTGGGCTCTGTACCAGCACTACAACGACAACGTAATCCTCTCGCGCCAGTACGACAGCATGAAGAGCTGGGTGGATAGCTTGGCCCAACGAGCACGAGAAAAGATGAGCTGGAGAAGATGGTTCTGGTCCAAACTCGGTGCTGGATGCGGCGACCTCGAGCAGTACATCTTAGACACCGGCTTCAGCTATGGTGAATGGCTCCGAGTCGGAAGCGGAGTTCCCACAATTATCAAAGACGTCTTGTTTCCCAGCGCCGCTATTTCCACCGCTTACCTGGCTCACTCATCTCGTCTGCTCTCCAACATCGCCAATATCCTCTGCAAACAGGACGACTCTGAACGTTATCTCGACATCTCGGAAAAGACATGTGGCGCATGGCGCGCTGCTTTCGTCCGACAAAACGGTGCGCGCATCTCATCCGACTACCAGGACGACTACCTCCGCGCCCTAGCCTTCAACCTCATCTCACCAGAGCAAAAGCCCGCCGCTCTCGAACGCCTCGTAGAACTAATAGCACAAGCCGGCTACCACCTGAAAACCGGCTTCATGAGCACAGGGTTGCTCCTCCCCGTCCTTGCCCAACACGGCAGAGCAGACATCGCATACCGCGTCCTACTCCAAGACACCGTACCATCCTGGCTCTACCCCATCACAAAAGACGCAACAACGCTCTGGGAAACATGGGAAGGCTACGACGGCAAAGGCAACGCGAAGATGTCTCATAATCACTATGCGTTTGGCACTGTGGCGTCGTGGTTGCAGGAGAGTGTGGCGGGGTTGAAGGCTGTTGAGCCTGGGTATAGGAAGATTAGGGTTGAGCCGTTGGTTGGGGGTGGGTTAGAGCATGCTGAGGCGACGCTGGAGACGCCGTTGGGGTTTGCGAAGAGTGCTTGGAGGGTGGATGGGGAGAAGGGGGTGGTGAGGCTGGAGGTTGTGGTTCCGCCTTGTGCGACGGCTGAGGTGGTGTTGGAGGGGGCGAAGGTTGAGACTGTGGGATCTGGGACGTATTTGCTTGAGTATAAGGTAAATTCATAGCGGTCTGGCTTAAGGATAGGTAGGTACTCATTCGGGATCACGTGTATCCGAGGGGTTCCGGCCGCCAAGACATGGGTCGCTGAACACCGAAACTCAGAAATCACTCCCCTAAACCATCTCAACTATCCTGCACCTCCATCCTCACGTTTACTATTCCTTATCACCCATTCGCTCTCCCTCACAACTCAAAAGGGATAACGCGCCGAACCGCAGGAAGCGCCGGTACGTTGTCGGAGGTTTCATATCGAGCCCCAATCAAGATGACGATCAGCGCCCATGCCAATGCGCCCCGCCACCTATCACACCCCGCGATAAGAGCACCTGCGATCATCCGCGACTTTGCTTGCTACACAAGTCATCTTACCTCCTTCCAGTCAGGTCTACGCTACTATGCAGGTAGGGCGGCGCCGCGCTCCTTAGTAGGAAGGCAAACCACTCGTTGTGTGTAGCGGGCTTGTAAGCACGGCTGATCAGGTACACATCCCCAATGGGGTGGGTGATGGGCGATGTGTCGGTGACTTGGCCGTTACCTCCACCTGCCTCTTTCGGGGTCGTGAGAAGAGTAGCGCATTGGTATAGTATGCTGTGTGATGCGAAGACAGGGTGAGCGGTGCAAAAGCAAGGGCAAAGGGGTTTGGGAGGCGCGTGGTGCTTATCATTGGAAGAGACGATGTCCGAAGTATAACGCGCCGACTACGGCGAGGGAGAGGTAGAGTATATAACCGCCTAGGAACCTGTGTTGTAACGAAGGGACAAGTCAGAGATCATCAAGCAGCTCTACTTCGCAGCATAGCCTACTCCCTCACAAAAGCAAAGTCGCCACTCTTCCATCCCATCACCATGAAGACTTCCATCTTCGTTGCCGTGGCCTCGGCCGCCTTCGTCTCCGCTGCGCCAACACCAGCCATCCTCGACGCTCGCGCTCCTCCCAACATCCCCAGCAAATCCGCTGCTACCACTCAGCTCGCTGGTCTCACCGTCGCAGCTCAAGGCCCGCAAACTGGTTACTCCCGTGATCTTTTCCCTCACTGGATTACCCAGTCTGGAGCCTGCAACACACGCGAGGAGGTCCTCAAGCGCGACGGCACGAATGTCGTTACTAGCAGTGCATGTGCCGCGACCTCTGGATCATGGTTCAGCCCCTACGACGGCGCTACATGGACCGCAGCCAGCGACGTCGACATCGACCACATGGTGCCGTTGAGCAATGCGTGGAAGGTGCGTCTCCCTCTCCCTCTCCCACCCACCCATCCTCCCCTCTCCAAACTCCAAATACTGACTCCCACACAGTCCGGCGCAGCATCATGGACCACAGCCCGCCGTCAAGCCTTCGCCAACGACCTCACAAACCCCCAGCTCCTCGCCGTAACAGACAACGTCAACCAAGCGAAGGGTGACAAGGGCCCTGAGGAGTGGAAGCCTCCGCTAACCAGCTACTACTGCACGTACAGCAAGATGTGGATCAAGGTTAAGAGCGTGTATGCGCTTACTATTACGAGTGCGGAGAAGAGTGCGTTGACTAGTATGTTGGCTACTTGCTCTTCGTAGGGTGATGGTAGATTGGGAGAATAGGGTTGTGTAGATAGGAATTCATGTTTATATTTTGAGACTGCTTAATTTATGTGCTGCTGCTTGCGTGCTAGATATGCTGAGAATGGGTTGAGGTGCCTCGTGTAATGCTTGGAGTGTGCTAATGATGTAGCCTTATCACGTTGTGGTGACGGGTCGAGGCTGGAGTCAGATGGGTCGGAAATCCCGTGGTAATTCTCCAGGCACCCGCAATCGATGGTTTCCATAAAGTTGCCTAATTCGGACTGGCCAGCGACGCGATGCTAGCCATATGAGCTCTAGTGGCTTGGCATCCGCCTGTCGTGAACTTGGGGTTTGACGCACGTCGAACGGCACGATTTCATTTGCAACAAAACGCGATTTCTACATTGATTTTGTTTTCTCTAATTTAGAGCATATCAGGTTCATTTATATGTGATTACACAGATCGGTCACGCAATGTCCAAAGCTTGTGTTGAGATGATTCATTCGTCGTCTCTGCTCGTCACCCTAGGGGTATAGAGGGCACGCATTACTCCATCGACTACATCTCTCCTGAACAACAGAAGACAGCAAGCGCCAAATGACGCATTGCTTCCGCAGACTCAAGAACTTCGCCGTAGCAGGCGCGTCTCCATCTACGAGTCGTCGCCGATATCGACGACGGTCTTCTTCCACTTGCGGGCGGGAACCTTGCGCTTGAACAGAATGTCGATCTCGCGGTAAGAGCGGCCCTTCATCTCGGGGAGGAAGAAGTACGCAACGACGAAGCAGAAGAAACCGGTACCGGCCCAGACGTAACCGCACTTGCCGCCAAGGTTGGCCTCCTGGAATGTTTGTTAGCAAAAGTTCGTCACACGGTTTAGAAGGGGTAGGACTTACGTCGGGGTTAAGCATGTAACTGGCGAGGAAAATGCAAGGAATGTTGACAACGTAGTAAGCACCACGTCCGATACCGGTAGTGAGGGGCCTGAGACGAATGGACGAGGTCTCTCCGATAATAACCCATGAGGCGGGAGCCGGTCCGAGAGTGAACAGAACGGAGACAATCAGACCCAGGGAAGCCTGGGCAAGAGAAGCTGCGTTGGAGACACCGACGGAAGCGGCGATACCGAGAGCGACGAGGAAACCGACGTTGATGAGAGATCCCCAAACGTAGATAGTGCGGCGGCCGAGGTAGGTGGTGAGAATCCAGGAAAGCATGACGAAGATCATCTGGAGAGCGGAGGTAATAAGACCAAGGGCGAAAGCGGTGTTGACCGAGATACCAGCTTGACGGAAGAAGTAGACGGCCTGGTTGGCGATGAGGTTACCAGTCAAGTTCTGGGCAGCGTAAACACCACAGACGATGAGAGTACGGTAGCGGTCGGTGCCCTTGAACAGCTCCAAAAGACTGGGCTCCTTGATGGACTTCTCGAGATCGATGGTACGGCGCATCATAGCGACGGCCTCGCTGAGGTTGAGCTGGCCCTTGCGTCCGAGACGACCGACGGCCTTCTCAGCTTGCTCGAGCTTGCCCTTGCGTACCAACCACCAGGGAGACTCTGGCGCCAGATAGATGAGGATAGCGAGAGGGGTGGGGAACATCCATTGAAGCGCAATGGGGATTCTGTAGGCGCTTGCGTCGGGCTTGGGGTTGTAGTAGTATGCGACACCGTTGACGATGATAGCACCGATAGCCCAGAACATTTGCAACATCTGGGTAGCCGGGGCACGGAGCTGGATAGGCGTGATCTCAGAGCAGTACGCGGGGGCGTTGGCGATGAAGATACCCCACGGGACACCCTCGAGAAGCTGGGAGACGAACATGATTGGGAGCGAGTTGGCGAAGTAGAAAACGAAGATGAAGCAGTTGAGAAGCATCAGACCGGAAATGGTCGCCCATCGGTATCCGATGCGGCTGGTAAGAGGACCAGCCAGGCAGACACCGATAATGGCACCAACGGGTCCTCCCATCTGAAGCGCTGATTGCCAGCTAGCCGCGATAATTTTGCCGTGTGGTCGGTCGGGGTCCGGGTGTGTGAGCGGGATACCGAATTCCTTCTCGAATGCGGGCAGAGCGATGAAGTTGCCCATCAGGAAGACACAGTAAGCCTCCATGATCTAGAGACATTCGTTAGCAATCGCATCTTGATTATGAGGGAATTGAGCGAGGAGCTTACGATAGTGCAAGACATGATGAACGCCCAGAGAGCAGCCATGGGGTACGCCTTGACAGCCTGTAAGACACCCATGTCATGCTCAGCAGTCTCAGCATCCATAGCCTGCGTCTTGAACATAGCAGCCTGAGCCTTCTCGTCAAGCGCGACCGAGTCGTCGACATGCGAGATGGCCTTCTCGACGTGCACATCGCCGCCATATTCCTTGGGGACGTCACCCATCTTTGCAGTAGGGCTCTTGCCGGGGTATAACAAGAAAAAAAAAGGCGAGGGGTATCAGATCAGAGAAAGGAACTCTGGGCTGGCAAAGAAGACAAAAGGATAAACCGGGGAAACGTCTCCACCTTATAAACAGCACGGGGTGCGCACATTCAACGCGGGGCGGCTTAAATGTAACCTTGCAGAAACGGCATTTAGGCATGGTCAGCCATCGAGTGTACAGTAGTCCACCCCCGGAGGCGCTTGAACCATCCACCCACCCCTCCCCATCTCCGAGGCGCGCATTGTCTAATTCCCCAGAAAGATGGAAAATCCGTCGCTGGCGAGTGGTGGGTCCGCCGTCAGCGCTATGTGCACATGGAAGGAATGCACGAGACAGATTCCATCAATCACGGCTTCTGGCTATCAAGCTGGTTCCTTGCGCCGTCTGCGCAAGGGCCTCCAAGCCGTGCGAGGCGGCTGTCACGACAGAGTCGTGCTGTGTCGCTACGCTGGCCTAGCAGCGGACCGCTCACCAGATGTATCCATAGCGCTGCGTGTTGGTTTGCAGGTGGCTGTTTCTTGTCTGCTCTAGACTTCGTATTGCTGGTTGCTCGTCACCTATCAGAACTGACGATGCAAAGCTTTGTTCCGGTGCTAAAATACGCGCGCTAATATCCCCGCACTGCGACAGGCTTGTACGCTTGTTAACTGGAGTAGACCCGTTATTTATCCGTGGGCTCCCCAGATGGGCTGCCCTGCTGCTCCAGGAAATTTTGGGTCTCTCCACTCGTTTTCTCCACGCCGAGGGCTGGGGTGAGCACGAAGGGTCTGAGTTACACGGCATCTGTGAGTTCCACTGATATGAGCCGTCTGACCACCCCGTTAGATCTCGCTACCATGAATGTCGGATATGCCTATACTTTCTAGGACCTCCACTTCGTGTCCAATGGCGCTTTTCTTCCCGCCACTCTTCCTTCCCGCCCCATGGGGAGCTGTGGGAGCGGTATTGAAATACGTCGCGGTAGTGATAGCCCGAGAACACCGCACTCATTTAACCCCAGATACGGAACTCTGCCGGTGCAGGCGGGCGGAATGCAGAGTTGAGCCTGGTGTCTTCCTCTACGAGCTAGCCGTGGCGTGATACTAATAAGTCTTGAAAACGTCCGCTGACGCGGAGCCGCCGCATGTGCGCAGATGGCCGCTACTACCACCGCTAGTACTTGACACGTGAAGAACCGCACGAGGTAAATGGGATAGGTACCGTGGTTTATCTGATGGATGACTGATCTTGGGTCCTTGCGCGTGTTTAGATGCAGCGCTGGGGGATGTGGCCGAGGTAAGGGAAGGTGGGTGCGTTGCTTGGGACTGCGTGATGATGCTGCTGTTAGACCTGGAGCCAGGACCTTGGGAATTGACAGGCGCGCTCGACGTCTCCGACGCAGCGGCACAGTTTGGCGGGTATGCTGCGAGGCTCCCACGTTCCGACTTGGTAATTGACATCTGTCGGACTGGGTCGCTTGAAGACAACTTATTCTACATGATTTAAGCTATCGTCGTGCAGTGTAGCACTTGAAGTCGCTTCAGCACATAGTGCGCGTAACAACGCGATTGCTATGGGCGTGCCCCTCCGCGCCTGGGTATCTCGATGCCACGCAGTCAGTACTGCTGAACATGCCAGTACACGATCTTTTGAATAAGCCTGCGAAGAACAAGAGCTCAGTACAAAGATGGATCAGCGCATACGGCCCAATACATTGGGTCGTACCAGCCGTATTCCATAGCCGTTCTTCCAATGTTCATGATGCACATGACCCGTTCCGAGGTTGCTTTCGTACTGATTCGGCACTAATGCGACAAGCGCGTATCATGAATCAGTCCGTCGAAGAACAAATTCCAGCCCACTGTTATGAGCGCAGCTTTACCACGCATCACCACAATATTCATTTCCTATCTTTCGTTGCCTCCATGGAAAGCAGATAGCGGGCAACGGTGCGCAATCCGGCTCTCGGCACACCCAGGGTTCGCAGATCAGATGTCAATCCGGCCAACATTGCACACTCATACATGGCGTATGTACTCGAGCCAATCCAAGCCGGCGGGCGCCGTGCTTTTACGACCGGGAGTATGCAGGGCGCCTGAGATGTGACGGGTTTGCGCACGACGGAAGGTTGGTGGCGTTGACATCACGGCTCGAAGAGGTAGAGCATCCTGTCTGCAGCTGCTACAGATGGTGGAAATAACCTAAGCGACACGTCCATGGTCTCAATACTTGTTAGCGAATCTCACCTGATGATAGGATACGATTGGAATGAGATGCGCACGGAAACCCTTGAAGACGAAGAGAAGATGACAAGATGACGATCGAGTAAGCTTTCGCACATGCGGATGCGGCGCACACACATGACGGACCTGAGTGCTCGCGAGCGCCTTATGACGGACCTGCGTGGTTGCTTCTCACAACCTCGCTCAGCTACTTCGGAATCAAGTCTAGGATTTTGAGCCGCAACACAGAACAATTAATGCGTAATGGCTACACGCGCGAAAGGATGCCGGCACTATTGCTGCAGTCATTTTGATTGAGCACAACACAGCGACATCGCTAAAGTCAAGACCCAGGAAATGATACTCCTCGCCCAGAATACGCCTGTCGTTCCGGAAGCTATCTTTCCTTCACTAAAACTCCGATCACCCGTTCACAGCGTAAATCCTCAAAAATAAGCTCTCATGAGTTGGAGGACATGGACAGCAGTTATGAGGTTAAGCAGATTTCGCGCTCCCAACGTACATGTGTGCTAGTACTAAGCAGCATTCTGCGCGTCCAGCAGTTGCTTAGGCGTCTTCCCATCCTCGTCCTTCGAGTTTATGCGTGCGCTATGTTCCACCAGCAGTTTCATGGCATCGGCTTTGCCAGTCGAGGCAGCAAAGTGCATCGGTGTCCAGCCCTTCCAGCCCGGAACGACCTCCTCCAAGTCCGCGCCATGCTTTATCAGCAGACGCATAGTATCGAGCTGACCGAATCTCGCAGCGGTATGCAACGCAGCAGTACCCGCTATAGGGGTACCGCGTTCCAATAGCATCGCTGTCGTGCGCGGACCCTCGTTCATGGCAGCGAAAGACATCAGAGACGAGCGGAAGTTTCCGAGCTTCTTGTAGCCCGGCGCAACGGGATTCAATGGATCTGCTCCGAGCTCGAGTAGTGCAGCAACTACATCAGGTTTCCTTCTTCTTACGGCCTCGTAAAGCGGCCTCTCATGGCCGTGGCCGATGCGGATCTCAGTGACCTTCGGGTAGGCGGCGCCTAGTGCCTCGATGGCAGCAGCGTGGCCACCATCGATGGCCTTGTTGACGACCTCTCTCGTTACGATATCGGAAAGGGGTATGCTATGCTCTGTGGCGAAGGCAAGTAGTGCGGTCACAACAGCAGCGTGGCCAGTTTGAGCCGCTACCATCAAGGTCCGCTCAAGATTCGGGATTGGTCTTGCCATGACCTTCCCACGGGGGGGGTCTTTATAATATATGGTGTGTGGCTTACTGAGCAGCGTCGCGATATGCTGTGGCTGCGATAGCAGACTCCATAAAGCTGTGTCGTCGCCAGACGAGCATGTTTCAATGAGACGGCGAGCGTCGTCCTGCCCTACGAGTACATCGCCTACATCTCTGGATGAGGTGTAGCCGGCGGGCAAGTCCTTTAGATCTGCCATGGTCGGTTCCGCCATAGCTGCGTCGTAATGGAGGTAATGGTAATGGTGATGGTGATGAAGATAGTAGTGGTTGTGCCGATGGAGACCGAGGAGATGAGAAGAGGTGGTGAGTGCGATTGTAGTAGCTGCAAACGGGACAGAAAGCGTGAATGTAGCGAGTGTAAGTTAAGTAGCTAGGACGCAGTAGAAGTTCTAAACAATTTAAGTTATATATTAGATTGTGGTAGCTAAAGGGCTGAGGGGAAAAGGGCTGAGAGAGGAGTGTGGTTGCGAGAGTGTGGTGCCGAGGAGATGAAGTGTCCGCAGGCAGGCGAGGGCTTGCGTAAATTTATTTCATGTCAACGCCATCAAAAACTTCGAGTAACGTGTCTTTCAGTGATGAAGACAAAGGTGCAGGTGCGACACAGGTGAACGTGAAGTTCTAACCTGTGTTAGGCAGCCGCACTTAGAAGGCGGGGTCTAGCGCCCGGGCGTAAACAAAGGTACCTAAGTAGCCCCCATCTGGGATTTAATGTACAGCCATGCAACTTGGCTGGCTATAACACTATACTGTAGAAAGAACAGATCGTGGGCTGCTTGTTGCCGATGGTCTTGAAATAGTCGGGCGTTGAGCGCAAGGCTGAGTTGGGGGCCTACTCCAACGATCCTTCCCTCCAACTTTAGTAGGACAGCGGCCATGGAGGATCCTTCCGCCCCAAGATGACGTCTACGCCTGCTGGGTACGAAGGGCACCATACAATATCTTCTCTTCGAAGTTTGTTGCAGATGATCAAAATTTGAACGACTTCGTGAGTATAGACGCCGATGTGGAAGTGGTCCAGCTCCTTCCCAGTCAGACATGAAAATATTGAAGTGCACCCTAATGCTGATGATGTTTGACCGTGGAGCTGAGGTATGCAGACGATTTTTGCAAGTTCCATTCCTTCTTCCAACAAAGTAGGATCTCCACACCCCCAGCCAGAAACTGTTGTAAGGAGCGATCACATGATAGGTAGGTGCTTCTGGGCTAGTGCTAGTCTATACAGTCACGTACCATCACATGCTTCAATACATCACTCTTACACTCGAACAGAAACCACTTCGTTATCATTCTCTACTACATCGCATCCAATTCTCTCTTGTCCAAAGCCACTATCATGCTATTCTCTATTCTGCATGATAGGCTTAAGAACGGGAATATCAAGAGCATTGTTCATATGCAGAAAGATGCGACGAAACCATCGCAGGTCATGGCCACGGAAGACGCAGATGGGAAGCTGACTTGGAAGAATGGCTTCAAAGAGGGTGACTCGAACGCTTCTGGCACCTACGACGTGTGCGCATCCGATGGCACGGAATGCGACGTACCTGAACCCAACGAAAACACCCAGCAAGACAGATGCTGTCACGTGATCCACGGAAGGAAGGAGTACTTAGGTTCACCTTCCACCTAGATAGCTCGGTAGCTAATACACACTTTACTTGAATATACCCATACACCCAACAGATGCCTCCGTCACAACCCATGTACTCCCAGCGATCTTCGCGCGCCCAAAACGCTGCGGCGGCTCGGGCGGATTTTGCTTTTCCGCTGACTGGAGCTGGCGTGCGCAGCCGCTCGTCCCGAAAAAATACCCCAAGCCCGGATCAGAGCCACGCAACGATGCCAGTGTCGTATACGAAAGCATATGGCGTGAACAGCGCGTCGTGTAGCGGGGTATCATCGTGGTGTATGGTCAAAGGCGATGCCCTGATACGGAACGAAGAACTTCTCCAGCGACACTTCGACGCACCATTCGACATGGTACAGACGAAGAAGCGGTTGAAGATTCAGAAATACCTCCCTGCTATGACGCGGTTCTTGTTCAGTAGGCCCGGCCAGTACAAAGCCCAGCAAAGGCATGGCCCTCTCGATCGCAATGGTCACACACTACTCCGGCCACGGAACCTCCGTCAGCGTCAACCACGAGTGGAAGTTCTACACCACCAGCGTCGGCAAAGCCGTGGGCAGTTGCGGCGAGACTGACGGCAAGGAAATCGTTGCGGATACCGATGAGACGCCTCGTCCCGGTTCGGATAGCAAAGCGCCGTTCCCTGGCGGTGTCTTTAAGCTGGATATTGAGGGTGAGGCGTGCACGTACAAGTGCGATGGGAATAATCCGGGGAGGTTGTTCTGCCCGTAGAGGGAGATTGCTTGTCGCGAGGACTCGAAGAAGAATATGGAGGTTGGGGCGATGAAGTGTGGGAGGGATCAATTCTTTGCTCCGAGCGTGTTTTGCGATTTCTGAGGATGTTCATGCACGTCAACCTAGGATAAAACTAGATGTTTAGCAGCCTACATTGACATGGAAACATGCAAAGTAGGTAATCTAACGTTGATGTAGGCTCTAAGCCTGTTCGGTTCTTTTTATGAATAAGGTGGAGGTAGCATGGAGACGAGTCTTGTATCGCAGTATGTTGTTGTGACTATGTCGACGGAGGGTTGGGTTTGGGAGGCACAAAATTGTCCTGAAGGTGCTGCTCTAGGAACGCATTATCTACGACAGGACGTGCAATTCCAAGAGCCGTCAAGTTTGACAGTGAACTATGTAGAGTCATGCATGATAGCTACGAGGGCAGTGCCATCAGTAAGCCAATTATCAATGAGTCGCAAATGGCATGTAGCTGCAGGACTTTTAAGCTTCACGTGACAATCTTGAAGTGGAACTCGCATTCGTCCAAATCCGATGCGTTACCCAGCAATTACCAAGCCCTGAGCCAAGCCGTAGGATGCAACGCCACGCATCCTTAGGCTGCGATCCTTCATGCCGTCGCGGATAACTCGGGACTATCAAACGAGGTCCACGGATGATCTCTTCCACAACTCTTTGTCCGGCCAAACACGTTCTGTTTCAGAACGCATGTTCGAGCGGGGAACTCAATGGAGAGGCACGAACCGGTGCGTGTATGCAGCAAGCACCTGCAAAGTATGTTTGAGGTTCGGTATGCCTGGGCATCAGTAATCGGGGCAGTGGTCTGGGATGAGAGGTGGTCGTGGAGTGTAGCGTCTGAGGTGAGATGATGCGTTGGTACCAGGATGGCGGGCGACGTATGGATCTCACACACCAAGGCTTGTCGTAAGCAAGTCCGCTATTCCAACACATCGCTTAGGTACGTGAGGCGGAGTATGTACGTTGCTTATAGTGCGGAGTTGTGGACTGCACGAGCGATGCGGCTGCTGCCACAGGCTCTGTATCACGTCCAACAAACTCGAAGTGACGGTCATATTGCTCATGCGTCATCTGGATGCGGAAATAGATGGAGATGGCTTCCAGAAGAGCAGGCCCGCGGTTCCATGTCGCGGGCAAATATCGATACACTATAGGCTCCTTGGCGCGGTTGAGTGCTTGGTATGGCGCTGTGGCACAGACGGAGCAAATGAGCAGGCAACAATAGATTGAGCAACTTGCATAATGGCACCGCGAAACCGGGTTCCCGGACTCGCAACGAATTCCCTCCATCAAGAGCGGCTCGACGCGCGGTGGTGAGGTGCTGTAAGGCATGCCGGCCCTGCACGGATAAACACACGCCGTCAGAGCGCCGGTCGTCGAGGAAAGGTTTGGGGACCTGGGGGAATCATCGGGCGCTATCGGACCAACGATTGCTTGGCCTACCTTAATTTTCCACCGGTTCCGGACGACCCCTCAAATCGTGGGCTAGGGGCTGCCACTATACGGTACGACGCTCCGATGGCGCAGTTCTGGACTTGCGGCTCAGAGCACGTGGGCTTGCAGTCGCTCCAGTGCTTCGCATTCGGCAGGTGCAGCAGCATGTGAAGATAGCTAGTGGACACGTTGCGTGTGGAAGCTGATCTGAAAGGATTGAGAATACGAGCAAACGGCCGATGGGGCGCTGCGACTCATCGCTGTGAGGGGTGTCTTTGGCGAGGACCAACCCAACACCGGGGATAGCAGCGGCAAGGAAATTATGCTTAAGTCTGCGCCAACCTTATCTGCAACCTTGCAGCTGTAAGCGAAAGACAGATTACTGAGCGCACGCAGATCGCCGTTTATTCATGCTCACAGTAATCTCGAAGTGAAGATGTCGGCCCGTAGAGACATACGACGGCTTTCCCTGCGACTTGTGCTTGGGGATTGAAACGACGTAGCTGCCTGCAATCGCGAGCCCATGATGTAAATATCCGGTATGTGGAGAAGCCAACGCTGGGCAGGCTTGACAAGTCGGATGACGCGGCTTCGACGGTGTGAGCTGATAAGACAAGCAGCGGGCGTTGTATGAACGTGGAGAAGGGCGGCCTTGGCCATCCATCGAAATAACAATCCTGTTTGCTACTTGGCAGGCTTGAGTGCGACTGATCCAATGGTTCCACCCGGAGGTTTACCTCTCTCGGGCAGCTGAGACGCCATATTCCATGGCATCTTGCACAAGTGCTCGTCCGCAGTCTACGGTCTTGGAGGAGTCTTGACAAAGAAAGACGGTCTGGTGAACAAGGTGCTGCGCTGTCCACTTGGTAGGCAGCAGGGTTTTACGCAAAGTCGGGTCTCGTCATGGCGCAACACTGCCACGATGACAGTCAAGGGGCGGGAAGTCTCATGGCTCCGATGCTCAGCTCTTCTGTTCTGGAAGCGGAGAAGCGACGGCCCTGTGATACCGCCAGTGTGGGTAAGTCGGATCCTCGTGGCACGGTGGTAAGCTTAAACCGCAGGCACCAAGCTTAATCAAAGTGCTGGCCGAGCCTTTAAGCGAATGAGCTGAGAAGTTGCAAGCGCCGGATTACGTTGGTGTGGATCGGAGCGGATGTCTGATCCAGAGCGGAGTGTAGAATCGGCTTGGTTGGCGGGTACAGTTTCCACGTATGCCACAAGTTTGCGGGCGGCCGTTTACTTGCGTGAGCAGACGGCACAGAAACTCTGCACTTAGCCGGAGCGTGTAGGGCATCCTTCGGGACTAGGCAGGCTCCTTTGTCGCGCAGGTCTGTTGTTTGTCCGCTTCCAAGGGCGCCGAGAGCACGACAGGTGGAGATTTCTTAGGGGACCGAGGCCAAGCATGCCATGGCCTGCCACAATCTGAGGGCGACGCGAGCGTGGGTTGGTTTTGGGACGACACGGACTTTTGGAACGCCTTGGCTGTGCTTGGTGTATTGCTGCTAGCGGGGGCCAAGCAGGACAAGACGGATTGACGGACTGATGGACCACACCGCGAAGTCTTGGGAGGTGTCAGCGCCGGGGTCCGAGTGGGGCTGCCAAGGGATCGAAGGCTTGTCGAAAATAAAGATTCGTTTAGAGTTATCCGGCTCGCAAAGCTTGGCTGGGCGAGCCAACGCCGCCAGGCGCTGGGTGTTGCTGGGCATGCCGTGGCTCCGGCGTGTGCGAGCCGCGGTGAGGGCTCGTCGCTGCAAACAGTTTCTCACGTCGTCTGGGGACGCTGGCTGGTGGCACAGGGCGGCATGGCAGATATTGGGGGCTGTGTGTGGGTAGACGCTGCTGGGGCTCCGCTGGAACGGAGGGCCAGTGAGCTGCTAGCTGGGGTCCAAATAAAGCTTGTCGTGCGCCTTATTTCGCTATCAGACGCCACTCCACGTCTCGGCGGGCGATCAAGACGACGACCCCAGCGCCCAGAAAGGGCCAGAGACGCCAAAGGAGCGTTGCTGGGTCCCAAGCCCGCCTGCCTGCAAGTACATGAGGGCGGATGACTGCTGATGGCTTTCCAAAGATTTCGCCCTCTGACCCATCTTCCCCAACTTCCAGCTTTCGTCACCCAACGCCGCCTATACCAAGTGGACCACTGCCGCGCACACCTATCAGACGCTGACTCCGTTTCATTGCCGGCCCGTTTCACGTCACCGGACCTCGACACATTTGACCTCATCGCACTGCCCCATATAGACGTTGCGACGGCTCTGCAGACACGCCCCGTCACAGTTACACACCCTATTGTAAGTCTCTACCTATGTTTCGTGTCTCCGTGCCGCTTTGCCTGCCCCCTCTCTCTGGCATGCTGTTCCTCGGTTCGCCATGTTCCAACATTCATGCGCACCGCGATTTCCGAGTTTGCCGGAAACCCTGCATACCAAGATTACTGCAACTGTCGCATTGCCTTGAACCCGAAGCGCTCGTTCCATGGCTTGGACTAACGCGAGCCACACAGCATCTATGAGGTCTTGACACCTCCACACTATCTTCGACACATTTCCCCCACACACGTCTTCGCAATGGAGACCTACCACGGACACGTTCGCACACCAAACGATGCCATCATCCTGTTTGAGGCCTGCCGCATCGGCATACTACCACGGGTACAGCGCCGTCTGTCCGAGAAGGAGCGCCAGCAGATCAAGTCGGGCTCAGTATTTGTATGGGACGAGCGCGAGGCCGGCATGAGGCGGTGGACCGACGGAAAATCATGGAGTGCCAGTCGCGTGTCGGGCAGCTTCCTCACGTACCGAGAGATGGAGGGCAAGCGGGGAGGTAGCGCAGTTCCCACAGCCCCAGTAGCGAAGAGGGCGAGCGGAAAGTCGCCAGACGGCACAGGCTCAGGTGAATCGGACGGCGAGGGACCAGACGGCTACCGGTACAAGCCGGATGGTCTCATGAAGCAGTCCTTCAGCATCACCACCCAGAGCGGACAGCACCTCCACCTCATCAGCTACTACTCGCGATCGAATTCCAACAACCTCCCACAACCGACCAACGATGCGCAACTGCGGCACATCCGCCCGCCAAAGAACATGTACCCGGAGTCGGCGGTGAACGAGACCCAGACTGTGCCTGCCGTCACTCGCGGGCCCATGCCTGGCTCGCCATACAACGCACCCGGACACAGCATGGCACCTTCCTCGCCGTATACCCGTGGTGGCCCTGTCGCACCCATGTACGCGATACCAATGTATCCTCCCACACCACCCAACGGTACACCTCCCATGTACTACTCGCACCAGCCTTACTTCTACCCCGGCGTCGTCTACGCGCAGCCTCCATACCACCCACAACACGTCTTCGACCGCCCACCAATGGCCCACCCTCACGCTCCTCAAGGCCACCATCCCATGCTGATGCAACACCCCGCTTACGCAGCGCACGCCGCACACGCCGCTCAACAATACATGGCGACACCGCCTCTCCGCACTCCGTCGACAGCCGAGCAAGCTCAACAGCAGCACCTTCAGCGTGCCACTGAACTTGCGCGTCCGAAAGTATCAGCCCCCGAGCAAGGTCCGCAACTGCCTGCCATCAACGGTGCGGCCGCCTCAGCAGGTGCGAACAAGCCACCGACACCAGAGCCCTCCGACAAGTCCGAGTCCCGGGCACCCGAGTCAAATAGCACCGCCGCAGCCGCAGCATCAAGACCGCTTCCTACACTGGGGTCGCTACTCAACGGCGAGAACCAAGATAAGGACAACCAGAACAACAGCCGTTCTGGTAGCCGCAGTCCTAACACCGCAACGAGGTTCCCCCGAGACTTGGCACCGGAGAGACTCGCTAAGAACAGCACCGCTGCCGATAGCAGCGCGTTGAACAAGCTCAACAGCGTGTTTGTGCGATCATAGCGATATCGCAAGTAGTGTCTTATCCTTCTGCCGCTGCCAAGTGGCTTCTTTATCTTCTTCTTCCACTTTTACATCTGTACTCCACACTTTTATTTCCGAGTACGGGTGGTCGTCTTCAGCATTTACGAACGGCATATGGGCGGCGTTCGGGTATCACGGCTACATGGCCAAATCATGATAAGCCTGGGGGCTGGGAAGATGCGCGGTTCATAGCATCGGCCGATAATCGGGCCTGGAGTTCAACGGTGTAATTCTTCACAACTTGGTTGATACAACGAAGTGTTATGTGTGACACGCTAGCTATGAAGTTTGTCGCTGCTGCAATACAAAATTTCATACCTCCATCGCATGCAATTCTTCCTTTCGAATACGATCGCTCCGTGACTGCCCTGACGTCCACTTTAGAGTTTCAACGTTGCTTTATGCTTAACGTGTCTAATCGCGACTAGCGATAAGCTTTCAGCACTGACATCATCACCAACACGCACCTGTCTCCCTATCAACTCCCACACCGTCCAGCAGACAGGCCAAGCCCGCTATCAAACCAAGCCGACTTCTTGCGACTCTTGCGATACCTTGTCTGACGCCTCCGCTGAGCTTCCACTGCTTCTCTCCCGGTAATTACCCAATCACCCCCATTTTAACGGAACTAGCCACCCATCGCAGCTTCCTGTTGCGGAAGGTACGCTTGTCTATCACGTAGTGTCAGACCCTATCTCGAGTAGTTCCGCGGATCAACATGAGAGATACCCCGCAGTGGTACGGCAACTTGCGGGCGTGAGCGTATCGCGTGTAGGGAGATGCAGGGGTGGCTTATCAACTATGGATGGGCGGACGTCAATGGCGCGTTGGGGAGGTCGGTTATCGTTTACGGAGTTTTGTGCGTCGACGTTGACGTCGCGTCGGCTTTTGTGGTGGGTTTATATGATCGTTTGTGACTACGACTTTTGCGATTGAGTGTTTGGCATCTTTACTCTTTTGTTGATACGATCATTCGAAGCGATCGTGCGGCCTCGATATCACGTCATGGCGTCTGCGACTGATCACCCGCCTACATCGCCACATCCCGCGCCTGTGGATGTCGAAAAAGAACCGATTGTGGAAGACAACGGCAAGGGCCTCAAGAAAGTTCTCGACGAGAAACTCTTGAAGCACTCGCACGATGCCGATGCGGCGATGAAGGCGTTCGAGGGCATGGAGGGCCAGGTTGTGGAGTTGACCGAAGAGAAGAGTAAAGCGCTGCTGAGGAAGATTGATATGCATATGATGCCCGTACGTTCATTTTTCCCTGCTCTGAAAATTATCTGTACATTCGTTAGCATACGTGGATGCGAGCTAACGATGCTTACAGATCATGTGCATAGTTTACGGGCTTAACTATCTCGACAAGACCACGTTGAGTTACGCAAGTATCATGGGTCTAAAACTCCCTCCTTCAGACAACATACTAGAATCTGGTATCGGTCTCGTCGGAGACCAGTACTCGTGGCTGGGTAGTATGTTCTACTTTGGATATATCGCTTGGGAGTATCCTACTACGCGTCTACTGCAAGTCTTGCCATTGGGAAAATACTGTACGTCTCCTTTCACTTCATGCTTTGGCTGTCCAGCGTGTTGCGAAAGGGCTAACATAGCCCAGCGGCCTTCAACATCATAATGTGGGGCCTCGTCCTATCCTGCTTCGCAGCCGTAGAAAACTACGCCGGAGCAATAGCCATCCGCTTCTTCCTCGGCGTCTTCGAAGCAGCCGTAACCCCCGGTTTCGCCCTCTTCACCTCGCAATGGTACACCAAGAAAGAGCAAGGTTCCCGCACAGCCATCTGGTTTAGTTTCAACGGCTTTGCGCAAATCTTCGGCGGCTGCGTTGCTTACGGCATTGCTGTGGGATGTCGCAAGTATGGCACTATCATGGAGCCCTGGAAGATTGTTTTCTTGGTTACGGGACTACTTACTACGTGTCTGGGTATTGCATTCCTGTGGATCGTCCCGGATAATCAGTTGAACTGTAGATGGTTGAGTAAGGAAGATCGGGTTTTGGCGATTGAGCGTATTAGAATTAATGCGCAGGGTGTGGGTAACAAGCACTTCAAGTGGTATCAGTTGAAGGAGGCGTTGGTCGATCCGTTGAGCTGGGCATTCTTCTTCTACGCGCTCATCGCTGACATCCCCAACGGTAAGCCATTGTTCACAAACCTCACCGAAATGACTGCTAAAACCCCACCAAGGCGGCATCTCAAACTTCTTCTCCCAACTCATCGTCGGCTTCGGCTACACACCCGAAGAATCGCTCCTCTACGGCACCCCAGGCGGCGCCGTCGAAGTCGTCTTCCTCATTGCTTGCGGCTGGGCAGGCGACAAATACGGCTACCGCCTCCTCATATCCATGATCGGTCTTACCACTGCTATGATCGGCATGATCCTCATTGTCGCACTGCCTCTGACCAACAATTCCGGTCGCCTCGCTGGCTACTACCTCACCCAAGCCAGCCCTACCCCGTTCGTCGCTTTACTCAGTCTGATTTCGAGTAATGTAGCGGGGTACACGAAGAAGACGACTGTGGCGGCTATGTATTTGATTGGGTATTGTGCTGGAAATATTATCGGTATGTACTACCTCCGTGCTTCGGATGAGTCTGACTAACGCAATCCCCGCACGCAGGCCCCCAAACTTTCCGCCAGCAAGACGCGCCTCGTTACGTGTCCGCCGAGATCACGATTATCGTCTGTTATGGCGTTTGCTTGGGTATCATAGCGTTCATCCACTTCTACTGCGTCAGGCAAAATAAGAAGAAGGCGTTGATTCGTGCTGACCCTGGATATGTCAAGCTTGAAAACCAAGAGTAAGTCTGATCGCTCAGATGCATGATCAATGTGTACATGCGCTAATATTAAGTGTAGATGGCTCGATCTTACGGACAGAGAAAACCCAGAGTTCATATACACATTGTAGGAAGTGTCCTGGAACGCACGAGATGAATGCGAAGCGGAACCGTTATAGATGATAGAAGTATCTAACTCCATTATACCGCTGATGAAATCGAAATCGCATTCCCATTCGTGAAGATCAACACATGCCTCCGTTGTGGCAAGTCAGCTAACCCAAAAAAATGGACAGTGCCAACTCATCATGCTACAACACCACACCTCACGGCTGCTGTGCAGGCTTCACCTTGACCATCATAGGCCCTTTATCCCAAAGCGCAAAAACCTTCTGGTCCATCCAATCCGTTTCTTTATCCACAAGTTCCAGATCATAAGCGAAAAGCACCTTGGTGAGAATGAGGCGCGTTTCCGCATGTGCAAGACTAGAGACGGTGATATCAGCCCGACGTCCGTAGAAACAAGAAACAGGGAGGAGAGAGAGGGTGTAACATACGTCTTCCCAATACAATTCCTCGGCCCAAAGCTGAACGGCTGATGGCTCGCCCTCTTATCATCCCTGTACCGCTCATCCCCCAACCACCTCTCCGGCACGAAAGCATCCGGATCACGCCAGTTACGCTCAGAATGGCCCATGGCATGCATGGAAACGTATACCGAAGCCCCGCCAGGAACATAGTAGCCCGACACACGGTCACCGCCCGCCGGCACCACACGAGCAAGGCCCGTAGCAGCAGGCGGGTAGTACCTCAACGCTTCCTGGAATACAGCAATGAGGTAGTCCAGTTTATTGACTTCGTCAACGGTGATCTGATCCGCAGAGGAGAAGCGCGACCGGATTTCCGTGACGAGTTTCCTGTACGGCTGTGGGTTGCGGAGAAGGAGGTACGTCGCACCCGCCAGAGCCGTGGCGCTCGTCTCGCTGCCTGCAATAAGGAAAGACACAGCATTACTATCCATTTCCGCGCGGGTGAGCCGCGTGCTTTCTTTCTCTTGGTTCTTGATTATGTGGGTGAAGAAATCGGGGCGTGTGTCTTCGCCGCTTTGGATCTTTTCCAGTCGCTTGCTGACCATGTCGTGGGCGCGTTTTGCGAATTCGTAGCGGGCGCGCATGGGGCCGGTGTTGTCGGTGAAGAAACTGCGGACGAGGTCGAGGTAGCGGAATGTGAAGTGCTTGCCTCGCGAGACGTGGAGGGCGATGGCTTGCAGGCTGCGGAGGGTGATGGAGATCCAGAGGTGTTCTTTGGAGTCGCGGAGGCAGTAGAGGGGCTCGCCGAATGTGAGGTCGGATATGATGTCAAAGGTCGTGAAGTCTGTCGTATATAATAAGTCTGAGTTCTGAAGAAGAAGGCGCTATGGGGATCACGCACTGTACCATGTTCTGATATCGATGTCCGTGTCTTCGGCAGCGTGTTCACCCAGGCGTTGTACCAGAAGATCAACATAAGACTGTATGAGACTTTCTTGTCCTCGCAGAGCCTTGTCGCTGAAAGCGTGCGATAAGCTACGTCGCATCCGCGGATGTCCCTCCTCGTCTGCTATGAGAAGTGACAAGACGCCATTGACAGGCCGGGGGCTATCTTGCCATCAGCATTTTCTCGCTCATAGCTTTAAATGGAATTAACCTACAACCACTTCAGGTCCTTGACAAAGTTTCTGCTTCTATCCGTCTTGTGGCCGTAGATATCCTGCCACGCAGTCTCTCCCGAGATGAAACTGACTTCATTCGGTTCTAGACGCACTGCATCGCCGTATTTTTCGTGGCATTCTTTGATCCATTTGACCACACTACCATCGCGTATGTGTAGCGCGAAACATAGACCGGTGGCGCGTGCGAAGAGGGGACCAGGGATGTGCCTGAGAGGATGGAAAAAGATGTTGTATATTACTGTGCAGATACCGTAGATAATGGCCTATTCGGAGTCAGTGAAGATTTATAGGTGGGTCGCATCATTGTAGTCGTCAGGGGATTGGGTAGTCTTCTAATGTCACGATCGTGAGACAGATGTCAGATGCCAGGGCAAGGGTGACGGCAACCTCAGGAACGTGAGGTGTGTACTCACTGACGCCAAAACCACTTCGAACGCATTGAAAATTCCTTTCAAGCTAAACAGCGTAAATCCAGTCGTTGAGATACTCGTCAAAATCGTCATGGTTGGACTTGGGCGATACTGTCTTGAATCAAGATACTCCCCGCGTTATGTATCTGGTGGGCGGGGTTTGACTTGAAGATCTCATGGAGCAACGCATCATCTGCCGGGTTAATCATAAAGACCGTAGAACGACCGCCTAATACCCTTGGGCTAGTTATCAACAAAGTTCACGACATGGTTTTGTTCATCGAACGTCCGTGCGCGAGAGTCGTTGTTCCTCAGGCTGATGCTGGCATAAGCAGGCTAGCGCGAATCGATATCTGATCATCACCTTTAAACTCGATGCACCCCTCGAACAGCACGTAAGAATCGGCCAGACTGCAATTTACACCCCGCCTGCCCCACCTCTTCGGCCCATACGCCTTTTACCCCGAACGTCGTTCTTGTATCGTTCCCGTCGCGGTGCGTGGGATGCCCACCGTGCTAGTAACCCCGATGCAAGACGATTGTATTGGGGGTTCGATGTGGATGTTGTGACATGTGATGCTGACCGATGAGCGATATACATCAATCCGGGGGTCTAGATGAAACGTCCACGGCCAAGAATGCCGGCTTCGAATGTACCCCGCTCCCAACAGCGGTCTTATGGGGGTACATAGTCGAATAGGATAGATCCGCTGCCAATCGAAGCTGCTGTTGAGCTGGGTACGAGCAGCAATCAAGATTTGGCATGTCGGAGCACTGCTCGAAGCGCATGTTCGATTGCTCTTGTATGCTTATCGCCATGAGTGGACGCGTAATCGGATCTTACTCCAGTCTGCACAAGTCCTTCGAGGTGACGTCGGCAGGTACTACTCAGTGAGGAAACTTGGAAGCGATAGTATTCGGTACATGGTGCTACTTGGCAGCGAGAACCTATCGCACGAGCGGTTAGCAGTACGAAAGAAGCGTGCCATGTTCATAGGGCCTCGATAAGCATCGTCTCTTCATTATCCTGCCTAGAAGTACTGCATATGGATGCACCGAGTGTGCCGCCGCAAGCGTCGATCATCGTTGCCGTATCGATATGTAGGTCTCCAGACGCCTGTCCGTATAATCTTCCCATCATCCTCGCGACGGCCGATGCGAACAAGGCGATATCGACCGCGCATGCCCAAAGGAAAAAGGTATCGTAGAAAAGAAATGTCCGTTCGCACTCGAATCGCGTGTCGCCTTGTAACTACCTCGTAGGTCTTCGCGCAGCCGGGGATCCCCTATCACGTAGTCAGCAATAATGGCCCATGATGCTTCATGACGACCTACCCTTCATGCGCAGTATTCCATGTCTTGACGAAGGCACGTTGCGTCTTATCCGCATAGTCTTCTGCATTGACTTCCTTGACTCCGACTTTAGCGCCGTCTTTGGTGAAGACGACGTTCTTCTTCTCCATCTTCTTGACGCCGCGCTCGGCGAGCTCGTTGGAGTAGAGGAAGATCTGTGATGGCGCATGACTTAGCAATTCGTGCGCGCGCATTGTCAGAGAGATAAATTACCTGATAACCGACCCATCCCACACCTCCGACCACCGCGAAGAGAACAAAGAGCGGGATGAGGTTCAATGCGCCCATGGTTGTGGTGATGATGACGTAGCGAGGCTGGTGTTGCGCTGAGGGTCGTGTGGCGGGGTAAACCTTGCGAGAGGCGAGTGCGTCTGTGAATGAGGCTGGTGATGGAGGGACACAAATAGACTTCAGGGAAGGAAACTTTCAAGTTCCTGCAAATTGTTGAAGGGCTAGGGGCCCACAGTCGCTATAGATGCCGTGGCTGTGGCTGAGCAGATGAAACCCCGAACACGAATTGAAGGGTCAGCCTTGGCACGGAAACGGGCCGCCGCTGATCGCCGCGGATGATGCCTCGATCAAAAGTCCGGACAGGTGAGCGGCCAGGAAGAACTTTTTGATTCTGGCATGATGGGTGCTGGTGATGTTTTGTTATCACGAGGGTTTCGCTTAGGACGCCTGACGATTGACATGTTGCATGTCTCCACTGATCATCCGCGTCGAACGCGTGGGTCACATGAACACTTACTAGATACGGATGACGATCCATGGAACATAACATTCGGCTTATATTAGACCCTCCGCGAAGTCCCACTTACTATTATCTTAGAACCTAGGTATAATACAGGTGCGATGCTGCCGACCACGAACTGGAATGTTTTCTCTCCTCCACCTATTCTTACAGATCCCTTGCCCCATCCTCGCCTGCGTCAAGGGAACATGGGGCCACATGTCAGAACATGTCTTCTAGCTAATACCAGCACCTGAGCACTACTCAGCCCAAACTTTGTGCCAATAATGGACAGTCGACCTAGCAGCCAGTCGCGTTGCTCTTGTGGTACGGTCTCGGCGTTTGCTGCGACGTATAGTGGCCATACCAGTGAGTATCCGCCGAATGCCTCCGCAGCTGCAAAAGAGTTAGCGCCATGCTTCACATCGTGTTAGCAGGACTTCGACATACCATTTTGCTCTTGACCCATTTCCTTCGCCACGGGTTGCAACTCGTAGTTCATGTGAAATGGCACACATGCACTAATCTCGTCCACCATCATCTGGATGACAAACACGCTCCTACTCCACGTCTCATCGCTATCTGCATAGTTGCCACCGATGCTGAGCCATGTCACACATGCCATGATGACTCTTCGACAGAAAATCCGACAAACGCGGTAGTCATTCATTATACTCGCCAACGACACGTCATGATATACATGTTGCTCGCCGGGCCATCTTTCAGCCAGCGCGATCTCCTCGGGTGCGATTGGATCGCTGCAGACGCCGATGATCCGATGTTTCCACTCTGGAGGCAGGGTGCGGTACCATTCTTCGAGGTTCCCGTCGACCATTTGCGCAAGGTCGAGGATTTGCTTCGCTTCTGATTCGTAGGCGGAGTCGTATGGTGTGGTAGTGAGGAGATTTGCACGGGCGCGGAGGTTTGGGAGGTCGATACAGATGAGTGTCAGCCGATTGGCAGCGTTTTCTTCTGAGATGTCGCCGTTGCCGACCCAACCTCCGGTACCAGGAAAAGAGTCGATGGGTTTCGAGCGTTGAACGCAGCTTGTAATCTATTCTTCGTTAAATTATGGTATGCAAAAGATGTGTTATTGGTATTTACCATCATTGTTCGCACGGCGCGGAACATTGCATGTGACATTGGATCGTTGAACTGTTCGATTCCTCTTAGTTTCGTTAATGCCACAGCGCCGTCCACATGATTTCCCCATGCCGTGATAGTGTCGTCTGTACTCATTATGGTCTGATGTTCGTTAGCTCAAAATATGCATCTGGGGGTAGACAGCCAGGTTATTGGAGGCCTGCAAGAGATGGCTCGTTCACTTACTTCATATAATGAAAACATGAGAACAGCCAGTACCGTCTCATCGCTCTTTGCCATCGCAGGATCTTTCAGGTCATCGTTCAGTTTCTTGATAGCCTTGCCGTAGGTGGTTACCGCTTCACGGAGGAGCTGTTGTCGGCCAGGATACTGACCGCATGTTGCCATCGCAACAGCAGTAGTAGCCAAATGGAGGACCGAAGATGGGCGGGCACGATTGTAGAGTGGCACCAGATATTCTAGGTATCCTCGTGTGCTTTCGGCCTGTTGTGGCAGGGTGATGAAGTTCTTGAAGAAGAACGGTACGGCTTCGCATTCTGGCGCGAGTGTTATGGTTGGCGGTACTGCGTTTTCCAGATTCCACACGAACGCTTCGAAGTCGAAAGACTGGTCTAGAGACAGTGGTGGTGTTGTATAGTTGGACAGAGCAAGTATTTGTTGTGATGGGCTTAAGTCTGAGGGTATTCTTGATCGTGAGGTGATTATTTGAAAGGCTTTCTCCCCAGGTACTGCATTCTCCCCTGGTGGTACATCGAACGTCGAAGAAGGTGACCTATTTGTGTTAGCGCGTACAAATTGCAATGTGGGTCTTCGGCTTGCGACAATCACATGCGAACACTTTCAGAACGCATACCGCCTACGAGGGTACCCATTTGCTCGGCAAAGCTTATCGGTATCCCCTGTGCACGAAGCGGATCGACATGGGCAGAATGATGTAGTACATACAGATGCGGCGAAGTGCTGGAGCTTGACGCACCGTTGCTATTGCTCGACGCGGTCGTTCCGGAAGACTTCCTCGCCTTCTTGGCCATAGCTTTGTTCTCATCTCGAAAGACCAGGTCGAAATCATCAGGATAGCCGGGACATACTCGGGCGGACTTTTTGCAGTTGCCACATGTTGGTCGTTTCTCGTCGCACTATGCACAGTCAGTCGGCGAGCCAAAACGCGGCCTCAGGCAAGCGCATCCGAATACGCTCGGAGGCGATATCGCTAGTCAAGAGAATAGAGTAATTGTCGCGAGGTAATACATACCTTTATTCGGCGGCTTTTACACATCCCACACCCCCGGCTCGGCTTTCCGGTGTAGACCATCGTGATACGGTATTCTAAGGAATGGAAGAATAGAAGAAGGCGGCAGGGACAAGACTTAGGCACCAAAGACAACACCTGCCTTCCAGATTCGGGCCTTCGTTTCTGACTATAAAGATGCCGTAGGTAAACAACGATATTCCTAATCGGATTTCAAGCAACTCCGCCTCTGGAGCCTACGACTACGATCAAGCCTATATTACCAAATGATCCAAGCGACAAGCTTCAGCTCGCCTATATCTGACAAGCTCTGTAGATGAGCGCAAGGCCGACTCCCATGCACCGAGGTACGCGACGATAAGCTCAGAAAATTGACGTCGACGTAGGTTGGACAAGGCGTTCGGCCGGCAGTGCGAAGACTCGCTAGGGAAAGAATTCGCGATCGGACCACCAAGCGTGTAAGCAGCGTATTTGCATGGACCTATCAGAAGAGCAAGAAGGCGATGACAGGGCTGCAAACTTCATTCTGAAACCGGAGGAGGGATGGCATGGCAGTCCGAGTCGATTGGCCTGCCGCACCGAGATGCCCACCGCAGGAAGCAGCCGTTGTGGTGGTTGATTTTTCTCGCAAGCACCACCAGATTGGGCTTAGCGCTGCGCCCAAAACAGTGGCGCAGCATGCTGTCGTCCCCTTTCTGATATCACCAGGAACGCGACAAGACGTGACAAACACGACTTGAGGCGTTTCCAAACGTTGCTGCCTGGTGTCTTCTCTGCAGGTACCTCAGGCACTGACGCAACCGCTTACGTATGTCGCGTTTTGCGCTTCTTTGGGGTCGTATACGCACTATGGGAATCGCCGGCTCGTCCGAATTCGCCGTATGAGCCGGATGTCGGCGATTGCGCCATTTGCGCAACGTGTCCTCTTCTTCAGACCGCGATAAGAGATGGATTTCGATGACGGTGGTATGCAAAAAGACCGATGAGCGATGAAGAACGAGGAAGTACGCCTCCAAACCTTGGGTAGTAGAGGGGTTTCGATGCGATTATCTCGAACACCCGTCGCAAACGCGCACAGGGAAGCAGAACTCATCTTGGCTGGCAGGCGCTGGTAGGATGGTAGTCTGCGAAAGTGCATACAAAACCTGCAAGAAGGTTGTTCATTCGACGTGCGCCAAGCCAATAAACTCTGGTCAATAACGTGGCCTCGTTGTTCTGTCAAAGTCCAACCACCAACACGAACTTCGGCTCAGTAACAGTCACCATTATCATAGAGCATGCTTCAGGAAAGAAGTTTAATAAAATGCAACAAATCAAGAGTGGCTGGAAGCCTAAGAAAAAGAGATGGAGAACGGAATGTCCGGACATAAAGGTTTTGATGATCCTCGCCCCGTTCCGGAGTCCATCGAACTATCAGCAAGAATGCGCTACTACCAGTATTGCGGCACTCTAGCAGACTTGGGTCAAGAAGAAGTATCACCGGTAAAGCGTAACCGCAGTGAACGCGTTGGGCCACCACAATGCGCGCTTGCGAACTTCTCGAGGCCCGCGTCCTCCTGCTTCGTGGGCCAGCCACGCCCTGACCCGGAATCTGGTATATTTGACAGAAGGCATGAAATTACGACCGCTTTCCCAAAATGCCTACTATCGACCAGGGTATCCCATCTCAACCGGAGATTTAGGCTCTTGAGATGGTAGTTCGTGAGGTTGATAATGACCCTGGAGCTCAGAGATGTGGTATTCGTATTCTTGAGGGGGTTGATATGTTTCCATCGGTTTGGGTTCGCTTCCGGCCACTAGAACGGGGGCGTCAGGCGCGTTTGCTCGCTTTCCATTTCTTCGGCGAAGCAACAGCATGGCAAAGATGAGCGCCGCAGTACCGATCACACCTAGTGTAACACCCAAGCCAATGCCGATCTTCTCGCCCGTTGATATGCCGCCGTCTCTGGCAGGGCCGTTTGAACCGGACGAAGTTGGTGACGGACCGCTTGTCGACATAGCTGGCGATGCGGATGTGAAGGGTGAGCTTGCGAAGCTTATAGAGCCACCGGAAGGGCTTGGTGTAGAGGTCGGAGGTGCACGAGCGACGTTGAAGCCCACTACTGCGATAGCTCCGACACTCGAATCTCGGGCTGCCGTCGTTGTCTCAATAGTCCAGTCATTGGGCGCGCCGTAAGGTGTAGATGCGTACGTAAAAACCATGCCTTTGGAGACAAGGGAGACGCAATCACCGTTGACGGGGCCGCTTGTATGGAACGGGTTGGTGTAGCCTCTATGAGCGGGTAAGTTCAAGGCCGAAAGGGTGAGCATGGCTAACTTACGAAGGACAGCACATTATCTGGGTTGTGGAGGTATCCGTAACGTAGGTCATGACGGTCGTCCACAGGTTCGGGCATATTAGGGGCTGAATGCTCAGCGCTGTATGCTCCTCACCGCCGACACCCAGTCGTGCCTGTTCCCACCAAGTTGTCACCGCTGAAGGTACGCAGTCGACATCCTCATCGATGTCGAGACCGTAGCCTGGATCGAACGCTACCAAGCTGGGTCCGTTGAGCCGGAAGATGGATTCGCAGCCAGACGATGGCGTGAAGGTACTTATGAGCGGAATCCATGAGGTTACTTCACCAGCGTGAGTCACCGGCGTAGCTGGCATCAAAGAGAGATCTGCCATCGTACAGTAACCTCCAGGGTTGGATTATCTGAGCTGTATGGGTCAAAAGGCTGGTCTCGTTTACGAGACGGTGGGTATCACTGACGGAGTCTTACTTCACTGTACCAGGGCAGGGGACCAGGCGCGTCCCCTAAGCGCGTTCACACGCCTGCGCCGCATGGAAAATGGATGTCACTTGTATTGGATGGCGAACGCTTTGATCATCGAATCGCCTTCTGATTAGCCTGCTGCAATGATCATTTGAGATATGCAGTACGCACGGTTTCAATTCCCGGCGCTAACGTGAGAGTGTGGCGTGGTTGTAATCCTTCTGTCGAACCGAGAGGGGATGCCAACGATGGCTACCTGTGGAAACTCGATTCTACTTCTTCACTACTCATCAAACCTCGACTTCTTAGTATGTCGCGTTCTTCTGTGCGCAATCGCAAACGCGAGGCGAGCCATGCTCGAAAGGCTAATGGCCATACGACATCCTCGCCAATTTCATCCCCCTGGTCGGTGTTCAAAACACCATACCTTACAGCGGCGATTCTTCTCGGAGCGTCTGTGTGCCTTTGGCTTTCAACACAAGCCATCCCTTCGACTCTTACTCGGAAGTGGCTGCCCACCCCGCCTAGCGAGTGGGAAAATCGACGGCAGCAAGTCAAAGATGCTTTTGTCAGCAGCTGGGACGCGTATTCCAAATACGCTTGGGGTTTGTGAGCCCTTTCCCGCCGTAAACCTCACGCTCATACATCATGCAGGCTATGATCAATTCCACCCCATCGCCAAGAAAGGCTCAATGATGAGTCCGAAAGGCTTGGGTTGGATTATCGTTGATAGTCTCGACACGATGATGATCATGAATCTTACATCGCAACTAGCTGATGCGAGGATTTGGTTGCATCGCAGCCTAGATTATGAGCAAGATCAAGATGTCAATACGTTCGAGACTACAATTCGCATGTTGGGTGGTCTTCTCTCTGCGCACTATCTCACGACAGTGCTGCCCGGTGTCTCTTCGCGAAGAGACAGCATCTATCTCACCAAGGCTGTGGATCTAGCCGACAGACTTCTCGGCGCATACGATTCGCCGTCCGGTATACCATACGCAAGCATCCACTTGGCAAGCCGAAGAGGGCTTGTATCACACGCTGATGGTGGAGCTTCATCGACGGCCGAAGCGACAACACTACAGATCGAGATGAAATACCTATCGAACGTCACTGGCAACGAGATATACTGGCGAAAAGCGGAAAAGGTCATGGAGGTTGTCGACAGTGTTAATGTGCACGATGGTCTGGTTCCGATCTTTATCACGCCTCACTCGGGTCAATTTACAACACGCGAGATACGTCTTGGAAGTCGAGGCGACTCATACTATGGTAAGCTATCTAATGCATCCAGTCGTCGATTCCATGCTAATTGTCGCAGAGTATCTCATCAAGCAGTACCTACAGACCTCCGAGACGATCTACCTGCAGATGTGGGAGGAGGCTTTGACAGGCATCCGTAAACATCTCATCATCCCTACCAAGCATGCAAAGCTCAGCATCGTCGCTGAATTACCCAGCGGAATTGGCGGCTCTCTGTCACCAAAGATGGATCATCTCGTTTGCTTCCTTCCCGGTACCATCGCACTCGGAGCAACGAACGGGCTCACCGAGGCTGAAGCCCGCCGCCTACCCAGCTGGAACACCGAGAAGTCACAACAAATGGAATTGGCAAGGGCGCTTACAAAGACCTGCTGGGGCATGTACAAAGTGACCGACACCGGTATAGCACCAGAAATCGTCTGGTTCCGCGCAAGCGACGAGTCGTTGCGGTCTAGAAAAGGGATGCCGCGCGCGCCCTTGGCGCGTAGCTCGAACTCCGAAGAGGTCTGGAAAAAAGACTTCAACATCAAACCCCTTGATGCGCATAACCTCCAGCGACCCGAGACGGTAGAAAGTCTGTTCATGATGTGGCGCATTACGAAAGATCCTATCTACCGAGAGTGGGGTTGGGAAATCTTCCAGGCCTTCCTGGACTACTCGACTGTTCCGCTAGGCGAGGGCTTTACTTCTCTGAATAATGTGAATGCTATTCCGCCTCCGCGACGAGACAATATGGAGAGCTTTTGGCTGGTACGTAACACGTTGGTGTATTGGGTCTTTGTACTGACATGTTCTACTAGGCAGAAACGCTCAAGTATCTATACCTGCTCTTCTCACCAGACGACATTCTTCCTCTCACTGATGTAGTGTTCAACACCGAGGCGCATGTGTTTCCTAGGATGGGCATGGGGAAGTTTAAGACAGGTTGGCAGCGCAAGCCTAGGAAGAGTGCGTGAGGCCCGTCAATACGAGATATTGTACTAGCGTTGAGATCATCGACGCTTGGAACAAGCATACTTTGGGGCGCTGGCGCACCAATTACGTATTAGTGCATGCGGGATTAAGCGCCACTCATTGAGGTATACAAAGTTGAGCTTTATTTGAGTCTTCTGCTAAATCTTCCTCTTATCAACCTCTGGCTTTCGCGCCATCACCCAAACAAACTCGGAATCGTAGTCTGGTTCATCCTCGTTCAAATTGCCATCGCTTGCCTTTACTTTCTCCACCTCCAACAGCTCGAAACCTACTTCTTCCAACATTTCGCAGTTCTCATGCACTCCATAACTGCTCCAAAACATTCCGTACCCCATCATCTCGCCATGTATCTCTTCTTCATCAATGCCCGCAAGGTTGAAAGCGAAGAGACCACCAGGCTTCAGCCAGCTGTAGATCTTGACGAGCATATCCTTTAGCTGGGAGCGAGGGAGGTGGAAGAGCGTGTAGAAGCTGAGCACACCGTGAAAGCTCTCGGCTTCGAACGTGAGTGTGGTCATATTACCAGCGATGAACTTTGCACGCGGGCAACGAGCTTCAGCCATCTTGACCTGCTTCGCAGAGATATCATTGGCTGTCACTTGAGCTCCGTGGTCAACCAACATGCTCAGTACTGGTACGCCTGGGCCACAGCCGAGTTCTAGAATGTTTGGGGAAGGTGGCAGACTGTCAAGTAGTTTCCTTGTGTATCTTTCGCGTGGTGACCTATCGCCTTCGACCCATTCTAGATACCATTGTGCAATATGGTCGTAGGCGTGTTCGACGATAAGTTCGGGTGTTTCAGCCATGTCAGTGAGATATTCGATGAGCAGCTGCTCAGAACGGTGGCGGGAAATGCGTGTGCTTATTCCGGTTCGACGATACTGCGGGCGAAGTCAATTAATCGATGCGTTGATGCCCGGCACGATGGGGCGACACTAACTTCGGGCGTACTTTGGAATCGGATGATAGTAAGCGACACGACTGACTGTCGGGTCAACGAGCTGCAAAGACGCTCGTGATGGTCAGAGCAGATCCTGTTAAAGGATACGATCTGGGTATTGGGAAACTTATCCTGTACTTTATTGACTTGGTGATCGTAGGAACTCCGCACTTGCAGCGGAACACCGCAATTACATGGTAACTCCGCACTCATGTGCGGAAAACACCGTCGAAAGATGTCCAACATGTTGTACACTGTTTACAAATGCTGCAGAGTAGTCAGTGTGAGGTGGAAGCCTACCGCCCACAGTGCTCCTCTCCAAAATCAGCATGGTACCGTGACCTTCATGACGTGCATGTCGAACTACATCGTACCAAGCAGTTATTGGAAACGCAACTAGCGATAGTACTTGTGTTTCCAGGGCGTCAAGCCGCTGACTATCAAGGAACAAAGTGGTTACGCCTCACCCCGAAGTTCCCCGATTTCAGCCGCACATGCGAAGCATATGGATTCGCGCTTCTTTGTCTGACGCGGATCTGGGGTAGCACATATCATGAGTAGCTCAGCCACGACCCATTGTGTTCCTGTCGTACAAAACAAAGTGCTTGGAAGCCTTTGGTCGATTCGAATGTGCGGAGGCGGCTTACGACACATGTCACTTTTAAGACCGACCTGGTGCAACTTAGGTTGCAAAGCAGCAACACACACTTTCTTATTCTGAGTAGGTATTGCGAAGCTATGTAAGCCTTTAGTCGCACTGAGATATGATCTTCTCACGTGCAAGCAGCCAGCAATCTGACAGAATACACGTGATCCTGTACGGAAGGGAGTTATATAAAAGAAAGCTAGATCTTCTTTGCCTGGAGAAAACCAGCATTAGACGTCAATCATACAGCTACCGAGTTTCTTCTCACTTCTTTTCTTCAGATACCAACATGAGACTCTCTATCACAGTACGTTAGGTGAAAATACCACCCCTTCGACTCGAAGAGATCACACAGCACAGACATTGACCCATGAATTTCCCAGCAGGCCTTGCTGTTGATCGGCCTCGCAAGCCCACTCACAGCTGCCCCTACCCTCGACGTCCGCCAAACCGACGCAACCCACAAAATTAGCGTCTTCGTGATGAATGACTGTCTGAAAACATTTCCGCCTGATCCTAATAAGCCTACGGTGTTCAAAGAACAGGACGTTAGATACGGACAATGCTACGACGCGGTCGATTCCAACTGGTTCTTCAGCGGGTTCCTCAGCGCGGAAAGCGTCGCCTTGGCAGGGAGCTTTCAGCCACCAGCATCAGACAACGTGATCTGCGAGACGAGGGTATATTTCCAACCTAATTGCGGGGGAGACCCATCTTTGACAGACAATTATTCGGGGAAGTGTGTCAATGCGCGTTTGAACGTGCCCGATCAATTGGCTGATATGGCCGGGCTGAGTATCAGGGTGGATTGTTGCAAAGGTGCGGCCGATGGGAAGAGTTGTTTGTATGTTCCAAAGTGAATGGAAGGCTAAGGATGGAGTCGGCAGCGGATGAACTGGAGTTGTGGTGTGAATATACCGTTGATGAAACGCGGAGAACGGCGTTTTGAGATGGCTCTTTCTTTGTACTCGGAACACTCATTTGGTTATTTGTTTCTTTCTTGTCTTCCTCAAGCATACTTCAAGAAGGTTACACCTTCTCGCAACACCTTGTGAAAGTCAAACCTAGCCTATACACAATGTCAACAGTTGGCGGGCAACCCGTATCGCGCTACATTTACCCGGATAGCCAATAATTGCCCATGTACGAATATCGAGAAGTGGGAGTCAGGTTGCGATATTAAGTTCCGCATGCCCTAGGTACTTCCGCCGCCAACGAGCAGCACAACATCGCTTCGGCGCGGCCGCGACTAACCAATACGGGAGGTCGAAAAAGAAAAGTACCTTCAGACGACAGCCACAACAACCACAAAAACTGATGTTGACGACAGACAAGTCTGGACTTCGTCATCCGTTCACGATGTGGTTCAGGTCGGCTACTGCACGTACTCTTACGGCACATATGCAGGTCGCACCTCCGCTCCGGTCGCGTCGCATGACCGATTCCACGCTATCGGTCCTACCTCGTATAGAAATTCATTGGAAAATTCCTTCGGTTGCCGGTGCGAATGATCCCGCATACGCGCAGCGGAGTGATCGATTTGCGGATCTGCCCAGCGAGGTCGAGACTGCAAAACAGCACCGCGCACACATTTCAAGTCGAAGACATCTCCATGGCGACGTCCCCTTATCATATGCGCTGTGCGTCTCGCGTGCAGATGTAAGCTGCTTTGTTCCTGCGTCGATCCCCGAAAAACTCTATTATTAGCTAGCCCTGCTTACACCTTGGCATGGTGGTGGGGTAAACTGTAGTCTGGTACCGTAGCGGAACAACGCACGCGACGTGCTGTCTGATTGAGAACAAACGACGGCTCGGGAATGAATCAATGATAATTGCCAGTCCGTCTCCCCTAGTGTGAAGCAGCTCAGTACAGCGATAAAGAATCGTGCGATGAAGCGAGGAAAACACGAAAGTAAATCTCGGTAAGCAACCTAATCGAGTGCCGAATAACCGCGAGCATTGCACACCAGGGCTCTTAATGCGCGAATTGTTCGGTTGTAATTTCTTCCGTCTGATGTTCTCATTGGGTCAGCGCAAAGCTAAAGCCGTGGACTAAAAGAATGCGACGACAAAGCTATTCTTATCGTCTCTTTGTTGACCGGCTACCTATCTTAGCATGAGGATACAGAGTCTTGGTGGTGTACGCTGTACCTGGGCGGGCCAAAATAAGGTAAGGCTCGAGCGAACGCCGAGCTGTCCGCAAAGTCTTGACATGAGCGCTATCGCCGCTCAGGGGAATGATCACCGTCGCACAAAAACCATCGTGTGTTAGCGCTGCAGAGAAATTTGGGTCGGCAGCGTGCGCGTGGCCGCGAGTTTTGTGGGTGTGCTGTCAGGGACCAACCAGGGCCAAACACTGCATGCTTGCCCTGGATGGGACTCGGGGCTGCCGCTTATGACGCTGGAGCCCGCTATTATTTTTATTTGTTGACGGATAGGCGTTGTGGGCTTGGCCAAACCTGGAGTAAGACGGAAGGATGTCGGCACTGCAAATTCTCGTGATCTCGAATGAAAGGCCGGTTCGTGGCTTGAGGGATGAGGAAAAAGTCCGTTCGCAGCGCGCTTCGGTTGGAGGCTGCCGATTTATCTCCCGGCGAATCAGGCGACCATGAGCTCGTTTAATGGCTAGCGGTGCGTTATTGACGCATGACATTCCAGTCGGTCGCATGAGCAGCGCATGAGCAAAGTTCTGGCATCGCGGCTGACTTTCCTGGAACTGCCAAATGCGATGGTGTTCTCATTGGAGGGGCCAAAAACTTGGGCTGTGTGTGTATGGCAGCCAATCCTGTGGGAATCCAATACGAGGGCCGCCCCTGGGCAAGGTCTTGGGGGATGAACACATGATCGCCCAACGGATAACAGATCCCAGGCAGTTGGTAAACGTCCTATCGCATTGTGGCGCGCCGTCAGTTGTAAAGCGCATGGTGCCTGTTGGCTAGTTCGGCTGTAAGATCGAGCCTGATTAAACCCTGTTAGCACCAGCGATATGGGCACAGTCAGTATATAGACTCGGGGCGCCCCTCTGACCCTTGGCAGGTATACTGTCGTATCCTTCCGTCACTCGCTTTTACATTCGCGCGCCTGCGTTTGCCATTCGTTACTCTTGTTGAAGGTCGCCGGTCATTCAGTACTACACCGTGTAACAATCGTGTAATACCTATAACCATCGCTCGGTACCAGAAGATCTACTACTCCCACGACACACCACATCTCAACAAAATGTCTCTGAAGTTTTTCTCCCTCGCTCTTGCGGCCGTCGCAACTGCGTCGCCATTCGACTCCATGGCGAAAGCCACGAACGACGACCCTTACGAGGCATGCCAGCCGCAAGGAGCGACAGGCACAACTCCACCAGCAGTCGGCACAGAGCTCAGCTCGCTTTATACCGACATCCTCTCGTCGATTCAGGGCATCTCTTTCGACAAGCGATCTGTACACGGACGTGCGGACGGTTTCGGGTGCCGTCAGAGCCTAGACTGTGTCAACGTAAAGAACATCAACATTCCCATGTGCTACGACAAGTTCACCACCAACTTCCAGTTCCCAGACGGATCTTACGGAAATGTCGCTGCCGGAACCTACAGCTCCGGCGGCACCGATGTCAACCTCGTCAGCGGAGATTACACAAAGGACGGCCAGAGCGCCAACATCTACGCGAACAACGAGGCTGAGAAGCCAAACACTTCGACCCTCTCGGTCCCTGCACAGTACACCGGTACTGGTGTTGGTGGAGCGGTCCCAGTCACAGAACTCGGAAAGGTCATCGTCTACACAACCACTGTCCCGGCCGTCACATACTCGGCGCCGACAACTGTCGCGGAGACTGTCGAGACGGCGACTATTAGTGGAGTAGAGGTCAAGACCACCGTACCCGCTACCACCGTTACGCAAGCCACAACAATCGCCGCTAAGACCAACGTTGTGACACAAACTCCCGAAGCTTCCGATGCCTCGCCGCAATCTACTGGAGCCGCCGGACAGGTGTCTATCGACACAACAAGATCCTTTGGAATGTCGGTGGTCGGTGCTTTGCTATACGCACTTTTGTAAGCAGTTTGCTTTCGGGAGTCATACACGTCGCAGTGAACTGTTTGAATGGAGGAGCCTCAGGAGTTGTATTTGAGGCAATTCCGAATGGATGATACCCGCTGGAGTCTTAGCACATGCATGTCGTATACATCCTGTGGCAGCCCAGTATTGATGCGCCACGCTTAATGAATAATATCGTACCCTTCATGTCCACGTCTCATTGCTTCCATTTGAGTTTTGACAGAATATCCTTCATCTTTCTCACTTCCTCAGCGTCAACATCTTCTCCAGGCGTTGTGATGGCTGCGGAGTGAAACCATTCTAATGTGGTCCTCCTCTTGAGATCCTCAACATTGGTGCTTCTGACCCCGCCTCCAACAATCAGCGAGACCGTATTGGGCCGAAAGAAGTGCAAGAGATGGAGAGCAGTAGCCCCTTCCGCTGCGGTCTTATATCCGCCACTTGTCAAGATGCTCTTGAAACCGCAGTTCTCAACGGCCTCCACGGCTTCCTCTAAATCGTCCGTTTCGTCAATGGCCCGATGGAACGTGCAAGGAAGCGGAGCAGCAATCTCGACCAGGTCGCGATTACGAGCGGGGTCTACATATCGATTGACCATCAAGATGCCAAAAACGAAACCGCTAGCAAAAGGCTTAAGCATCTCTATCTCTTTCTTCATGAGCTCAAACTCATCGTCGGAGTAGTTGAAGTCGCCTCCTCGTGGCCGGATCATAACGTTGATCGGGATCTTGACTTTTTTCCGTACATCCTGCAGCGTTGAGAGGGAAGGCGTTACCCCGCCAGCTGCGTAGTCGGCACACAGCTCGATTCGATCAGCTCCAGCTTGAGCTGCTGCGATGGCAGAGGTAGCATTGAAGCAAGCTATCTCAAGCATTGTCGTGTTGGTGGAACGGGAGAAGTGGCGATGAGGTGAAGAGGAGAATGGGAGGTGAGTTGCGGTGCTAAGCTTGACCCGGGCTAGTGCTGCAAGTAGATTGGCTGACGACATGATGCGCTCTAGGCAAGTAGAACATCACATTTCCTAATTCACCTCATACAAGGAAAAAATTGAACAGGTCCGGAGCCTACATCAACGTTGGAGCACCTGCTTTGGTTTTTCCCTAAACTGACGTGGATTGTTGGAATTGACAAGGAAGATACGGCATAAATCTGAGACAACTTCAAGGATGGCATGAGAAGGGTGGACGGTGATTCGCAGTGTGGAACTGAGATTGATTACCGCTACCTACCTAGATAGATACACTTTCTTTGGACCGTTTAGAGACTGGCGATTCGAAGGGCTTCTACAGATACAATGCTGTCAAAATGCAGAAGAAAATGATAGACTCAAGCAGCAAGAACCAGCACGGTCTCTCATAGCGCACATAGAAAGCCCAGTTCACCATGACTAACTTCTATGTTCAGAGATGCACGCCGTCACCTCACCTCACCGTTCACTTTCCGACCAAGGACGAACAGGCTCACTTCATCGCAAATGCGACGTGAAGGTGAGTCCAAAGCTGCCGCTTTCCCATTCCTCCGTGCCCATATCTACCTCTCCTCCTCCTCCTGCTCTTAACAAACTCTTCCACACCACATCCACTTCTGCGCCAAAGACGTAGAGCATCTTCACACAAACTCGCACAACACCCAGAAGATATTCCCAAAATGTCCGACACCGACCCCAAAACCCCCAACAAAACCGGCGCAAGCGGTGCAGCCTGGTCAGAAGGCGAGAAGGTACGTCCCCTCCACACCCTATCCGTTCCGCACTCTTCCGCACGAATCTACAAACTGACCAACAATAAAGATCGCATACCTCATCGTCCTGTGTGAGAACGAAGGAAAAATCGATGCAAAGATCGGCGTGAGTCCTCCCTATCCATGCCAAAACCACTTGTCTCTACCCACCAACCTGAAACTAATATCTCGTCAGAACGCGCCCATCCCCGCCGGCCGCTCCATCATCTCCTGCAAGAAACTCCTCGTGCGCCTCAAGGAGAAGCACAAGGACGACATTGCCAAGATCAAGAACGGCCAAGCCTTTGGTCCACTTCCTACTACTACCGACGCCACACCCGAGAAACCCAAGGCCAAAGCTACCCCTAAGAAGCGAAAGAGCAAGGTGGACCTCGATGCCAATGCTGATGTCAACGGTGGGGATGGTGGCGAGGCAGAGGGTTCCCCGAAGAAGAAGGCTGCGCCCCGGGGACGCAAGAAGAAGGTTGAGGTTAAGGAGGAGGTCAAGGAAGAGGAGGGTCTTGAGGAGGAGGAGGTGCTGGAGGAGGAGGTTTGAGGGATACTCACTCTGCGCTATGCAAGTATGCGTTGGGGACGTCTATCAGAAGATATGAGACTGAGTGATCCATACCGCAGGCTCCACTAGGGGCGTAGTTAGTCTGAGAGGGACTGTTTCTTTTCATGCTTTGGGTAAGGGACTGGATTGGGACTGGGGTCATCTGTCACCCAAAGAGGGTCTCAAAGAGCACGTCTGGAGATGATATCAGATGAATCAATGCATGATACTCTATTCCTTCTTTCGTTCATACGCTACATCTTACACAGCTCACACCCATCCCTCTTCTCCAACAAAACCATCTACTCCTCCCCCGCCTCAGCCTCCAACTCATCGGGCCCCATCTCCTCCCTCGCACCCCCATCCCCACACTCATGAATAATCTTCTTCCACCCCAACGGCTGACTCGCATCCTTAACATGCTCAATAGTAGGAAAGTAGTGTTCATTCTTCTTCATCGTCGCAACCCACGGCACATTATCAAACGTCATGACCTTCATGCGGAAGTACTCGTTATCTTTAATCTTCTTGATCTCAGTGAGGAACTCGGAGAGGTTGGGCGTGGGCACGTTGTTAACGTGGGTGACAAAGTTGGTGGGCGCGAGGCCGTACATGTAGGCTGGGGAGCCGCGGGCGCGCGACGAGATGTAGACGTCGGAGTGGATTTTGCTGATTTGTTGGCGCACGGCTTGGTGGGGGCGGTGGAAGGTGGCGCCGCAGAAGCTGACGAGGCGGTCGGTTTCGAGATCTTCGGTTGCGACGGTGGAGACTTTGATGGTCTTTTCCTCGCGCTTGCGCACGACGACGGCGTCGAGGAACTCGTTGTTGTACATGACGTCCAGATCGGGGGAGCGGGTGACGAGCTTGCCGTTGAGGGTGAGGAGGACATCGCCTTCGTTGAGACCGTCGCCATGACCTGAGTCGACCTTGCGGACCATGAAAAGCTGGTGGCGCTCTGGGTCGGCTGTCTCGGTCTTCTCGATCCATTCCTCTGAGACGCCCATGACACGGGCTTGGCTCATTTGCACGGTCTGGAACTCGACGTTCAGGATGCGTAGCTTGGGCGTGTTGCCGCCGCGGATCTCGTTGAGCACTGGCAGAAGGTTGGGTGTCGCAAGACCGAGGTGGTACTCAACATCCTTGCCGCTGTGTGATGTCCGCTCGCCCAGGTATGAAAGCCAAAGAGCCTGGACGGTGCCATCCTCCGCGACGAGCACACCCGAGCCACTATGCGAGGCTTGGTTGGTGTCTACGGTGATGGCGTCGAAGTTGGTCGCGCGGTATCTCGGTGTTATCGCGCTGGCTGGGATCGCGACTGTGGTGATATCAGTGACAACAGTCTTTGCTACGACAGGTCGGAAGTTCTGGTTGATGCCGAAGAAGATGGTTTCGGCTCCCTTCTTGATGAAGTCGGTGGCAAACTTGGGTGTCTTTACAGGGGCGTTGACAAGAGAAGCATCGTACTTGACGATGGCATAGTTCTGCAATGGGTGCATGAAGACAACCTTGGCATCGACGAAGATGCTGTCAGCGATGATCAATGAGATGTCGCAAAGGTCATATGGCAGAATTGCTCTCGAGACGAGGACAAGACCCTGTTCGGCGTCGACAACAAGACCGTAACCTTGTTTGTTCATCTTAGGAAAGCCGTCTAGCTTAATGGGCATAGAGACATGAACGCGAACGAAGCTGCGGACGATGTCCACGGCCTCGGGATAGCTTGAGCTCATCTTGACGAAGTTCGCACGGCGAGGAACTGGGGGCACAGATGGAATGGCATCGGCGAGGGGCTTGAAGTCCCACAGGCCAGTTTCGTCATTACGTGTTGCTACCCGAATCTTTGCATGCCAATGCCTGTCGACAGAAGTAATACTAGTGTTCGCAGTGTGCAGATCGCGCAGATGCTTGTACATCATAACCACTCGCTTGCGATCGGGGATCTTCTTCATGACTTGGATGAAAGTGTCAAGGTCGGGTGTTGGCTGGTTGTCAACTTCCTGAATCAACCACCCTGATGTGTAGCCGTCAGCGAACCTAAAGGAGCCCGCTGCCTCACAGACGTATACACCTGCGTTCTTGAGCGAGATAGCGTAAAGACGCGCTTGCTGGTATGAGAGGTCGTGGAACGAAGCGCCTGCGACGGAAACGAACTTGTCGGGGGTGATGGCATGTAGGTCGCCAACGTCTAGCTCGACATCCATGTTCTCCCCAGCACGCTGTATGGTTACCGAGATGGTCTTGCCAACGTTGTCGTCAAGGATTGCATCGAGTCGGACGAACTGTGTAAGCAACTCTCCGTTGACGCGTAGGAGAAGATCACCTTCTTCGACCTTGGTAGATGCAGGCCCTTGAGGAAGGACAACCTCAGCTACGAGCATGCCTGTCTCCTTAGGAAACTGAGTGCGGATCTCCTTCTCCAGCTCAGGCGAGAGACCTAGCCTCCGGCACTCGTCGAATGGCTTGAGTATCCACTGAGTCTGAATGGTGCCTCTGGTGACATGTTGGCTTTGGCGGATGAGCTCGAGAGCCCGTAGCGGTCGGTCTAGCGGCAGGAAGTAGTCAGTCGCAGCACCGTCAGCACGTCCACCGGCTTGCAGCGCAACAGCAAATCCGTCGCGGTCCACGACAGGACTGCCAGAAGAACCTCCACTCGCTGCCGCTGCCGCCTGGATGTAGTTGGTGTTGAAGTCGGAGTAGCCTTCGCCGTATTCGGGCGCATTGCGAT